TGAAGAGTTTCTTGGTCCTGACGTACTATATCTTAGTGCAATCAGTGCACTATCTTTCTAACATTACAAGGTCTGACATAACTTTTTCAGTTAATGTCTTAACAAGATATAGATCTGCTCCTACAAAGAGACATTGGAATGGAATCAAATACATATTGCAGTATCTAAAAGGGACTACCGGTATGGGATTATTTTATGGCAATGATTGCAGTCCTGATCTTGTTGGTTATGCCGATACTGGGTATTTATATGACCCACAAAATGTTCGATCTCAAACAGGCTATGTGTTTTCATATGGAGGCACTGCCATATCTTGGCGATCGACTAAGCAATCATTCGTGGCTACTTCATCTAATCATGCTGAGATAATTGCTATTCATGAAGCAAGTCGAGAATATGTATGGTTGAGGTCTATAATACACCTTATTCAAAACAAATGTGGTTTGAAGTGTAACAAACTACCTACAATTTTGTATGAAGATAATGCACCATGCATAGCCCAGTTGAAGGGAGTATTCATAAAAGGGGATAGGACAAAGCACATTTCACCAAAGTTATTTTTCACACATGATCTTCAAAAGAATGGTGATATCAATGTGCAACAGATCTATTCAAGTGATAATATGGTTGATTTGTTCACCAAATCTCTACCGACGTCAACCTTCAAGAAACTAGTGTACAAGATTGGGATGCGAAGGCTCAAGGATATGAATTGATGCTCTCATCGGGGGAAGTTAATACGCGTTGTACTCTTTTTTCCTTACAAGGTTTTGTCCCACTGGGTTTTCCTTGCAAGGTTTTTAACGAGGCAACCAAAAGGCGTATTTCTAAACATGTGTACTTTTTTTCCTTCACTAGGATTTTTTTTCCCATAGGGTTTTTTCCTAATAAGTTTTTAACGAGACACATTATCTATGGACATCCAAGGGGGAGTGTTATAAAAAAAATCAAATTATGGTGGATGTCTACTCTTTCTCCATGATCTTCTCAAATGCTTAATGACATATTCAATGACATATTTATATGCTTAATGACATATTCAATGATATATTTTTCTTCACTTTTCATGCCTATATAAAGGTCTTGTAATAGATAGGAAAATAACACAATTGAAGAACAAAATCTCTTCCTTCTCTCTATCTCCATTTCTTGTTCATGTTTTACTAAATTGCTTTTATTTCATAACAACATATCTTGTTCATGTTTTACTAAGTTGCTTTTATTTTATAACAAAATCAAATTAGAAGAATTACTTTTGTTTGCTTTTCACCCAAAAAAAAAAAAATCACTTATACATAGTACTAGTAGTACATAATTTTGGAAAGAGGATAAATTGGGACTCAATAAATGGAAACCAAGTAGAATATTCCATTATCCTACCCGCCTTAAATCGTTTGACTGTGTATCTCTCTGCGGAGCATACAAATGAAGAGAGCAAAAAAGTAAAGAAATAGGAGAAACGAGAAGTAATTAAAGTAAAAGGAGATGAGTACAATTCATATGAGCAGTCTCACTATCGGCAGCATTTCTCAGCAGCAACCCTTTTCGCCATTCCCCTATTATAAATCAATTGACTCTACAAGAATCAAAGCATCGCCAATAGAAGCAGAAGCAGAAGCAGAAGAACTAAAAAGGAAGATAGAAATTAGAGTTTGCACAAACAGGACATGCAGGAAACAGGGATCTTTAGATACCCTTCAAGTTCTTTCCGGAATTGCTCCTCCCTACGTTACTGTTAATTCCTGTGGTTGTCTTGGCCACTGCGGAGCTGGACCTAACGTCGTCGTTTTACCCGACGCCGTCTTTGTTAAGCACTGTGCTACTGCTACTCGTGCTGCTGAAATTATGGCGTTCCTTTGCCTTGGTAAGAGGGATGACGTGGAAGGGGAAAGCAGGAAAAGCTTGGAGGCTTTAGCGTTGAGGAAAAGAGCTGAGGATGAAATGAGTAATGCCAATTTTTCTGAGGCTCATAGTTTGCTCTCACAGGTATATATTGGTTTCGTATTTTGATGCATTGCACTGAATCAAGTTTTGCTTAGTTTACATCTTAGAATTACTTTGAAGAATGTTATCTATCAAAAAGTTAGGAGGTGTCTGATTTCTTCACATCTGCCTAAGCTGGTGGGACTTGGGAGGTAACAGGTACCGGTGGAAAAGTTGAGCTGCGCGCAAGCAAGCCTGGACACAGCGGCGAAATCAGGAAATTCAATAAGGGTGTTCAAATTTGCCAGTGGGCTATGCAAGGGTGTTCAAATTCTTTTTTTTTAATCAATAGCAAGTAATATTTTACCTTATGCGTAGTATAATTTTTCGGCGAAGGGTGTTAAGTTGACCACCCTTGGGCCAACATAGCTTCGCCCCTGCCTGGACACTACCGTCATCCAAAAAAAAAAGGAGGTGTCATAGTGACACTGACCATTGATCTTTTTGGGCTGTCTTAACGGGATAGAGCGCATTGGAATGAATATCAATGCATTGATTTCCACTTTGATTAGTAGAATAAATTTGAGGCTATCAAAGTATGTCATGATAAAAATGGTGAAGAAACTAAAGCTTGAGGTGTGAATGTTTGAATTAACTTTCGGTTTCAAGGTCTCATACATTATAACATTTGATCCTTTCAAGGTTATCGAATTGAAGATTTTCTTACTATCAGACAGATATATATCACTAATGCAAGCTGATCGGGGCACCCTTGTTAAAAAGAAAAAAAGAAAAAATCTCTAGCTTTCTTGCAACATTAAGCAGTTACGCTGGATTACTTTGAACTTTGTTGTCCCTCGTCTAGTGCATCATAAAAGAAAAAAGTACCTATTGCGGCATTCAATATCCTTTCTCTAAAAGTTAATTAAAGTGTCTAGAAATGATGCTGTAGTCCTTTCATTATTTTCTATGTTGCCATCGTTACTTATGTTGTAGTTTTACATGTCTCTTTATATATGGCCTGTTCATTGTATCTAATACAAGGTTGGTGCCTAAGGGCACTGATGTTGCCATTTTCATGTGCAGGCTATTGATCTAAAACCGTTTGGAGGTGTTCATATTATGCTCAAAGACAGGTTTATTGTGTTTAAACTCTCTTCTTTTCCATTGGAAGTTAAGACATTTTGTAGTCAAATAATCAGAAGGATACCCTAAATCTATATCTGTTATTCAAATGATTGTCATGCAGCTTTAAGCAAAACCAACCATCATTATTCTGTCTCTTAAGCGTTTGTCCTTGCATTTTGGCTTTCATCTTCCTTTCTGGTTAAAATACTGAATTTTCTTAAAGTCATTTAAAAAATTCTTGGATTGCTAGATTCTGTTCCAGCATCCAAATTTATATTAATAATTTGTCACTAATGCCTTGTTGTCTAGATGGTCAGAATGCATGTGAACAACAAGATGCTGAAATAAGTATCTTCATTTAGGTCTGCTGCGGAGTTGGCAATGGGAAATTTGGCTGATGCACTTGAAGATGCTAAGGAGGCGTCGACTATTGCTCCCAATTATCCTGAAGTAATTTGATTATTTGTTACTTCTGCTACAGTATACATGAAAAGCATGTTTTGTGCTTAAACTCAATGCTAAAATTAGCTTATTTAACCATGATGTCACGATCCCCTACATGTCGACTTCAGAATGCAGCAGATAAAAAAAAATGACCGCATAATATCTGTACTCTCTTTCTGCTATTAGTTTAGGAAGAGAACAGTAAACTACTATATCTACTAATCCCTACTTACAAATATTTATTACTATTTGATTTTTACAGGGTTATATCTGCCAAGGTGATGCTTTGATGGCTGCGGACCAAGTTGATGCAGCCGAGAAATCATACTCCATGGCTTTAGTGTTAGATCCGTCCATCCGTCGTTCAAAATCATTCAAGGTGCAGTTCATGTCTGTTGAAATTCTACAGTAGAATTGGTTTAACATTTTGCATCTGTTCTGTATCGTAAATCCTATGACTTGGGCTTATTTTTTAAGGTTTACTTCCTTGCATTAACTTTTGGCAACACCAAACAAGTACAAAATGTTTTTTAAGACAATGAATGTGCTATTTGAGAAGTAATTAAAAATCTGATATAGTAGTTCATTTGTTAGTAGTGTAAATCCGGTTATGACATCGTAGAAGTCATTAGTGTAGCCAGTTGTGTCAATAACTAAATAAAGTTATGGGTAATATCTTTAAACAGATATTGTGGTTCCAATAAGATAAGGCTGCAAGCGCAGATAAATTGCCAGATTGTAGTTGCAGCCAAGAAAAATTTTACGCTTCATATTCCAAATTAAAACTAAAATTGGCGTGTCCAGGAAATGGCTCACAGTTTTTTGCGATGGCGGTAGTACACTTTCATGTTTTGTGGGATATAGAGAGATCTGCCCATGCACACCACAAAGCTGATCCATGTGGAGGGTGGTGTTTGTCAAAAATGGTTCTAAGCCTCCAAACTAATTATTATATTAAAGAATTATGGGCCTGAAGTAAATCTATCACCTCATTGATGCCCCCAAGTAGCTGAGTCCATATGCATACACACAGGTGACGTGCTGAGATGCTATTGTGGAGAACTATCCGTTCTTCACAAGATCTGGTTTTTCAACACTGATGTATCATCATCCTTAATGTTTCAGGCTCGGATTGCAAAGCTTAAGGAGAAACTTGCACTTGCGAATTTGGGATGAGGGATGTGTTGGTATGCTTTACCTAGGTAGGATCGTTGTCAACATAATTTCCCTGAAGTCTTGCTGAGGTAGAATAGGTTCAATTATGCCAAAATCTACAGAAGTGAACTTTCACTAATCTACATGGTTCTGTATTGTAGTTTATTGTCTAGTTTGACATTGTATACAGAACAATGTCGGAAAACAGGAGATTATTTTGTTAGTAACTGTTGGCTGGTATTTTTGTTATATATATGCATCATAAGTCAATTTATCAACCTACTTAAATCTTAGCGCATCTTCGACAGTGTTCACTTTTGCAATCTTGGAGATTAGGGCAGAGATTGAAGTTTTTTTCAGATGTCACATGTATCCTGCCAAAAGGTTGGAATAGAACATACACAATACAAGAGTTAAGTCTCTACTAAACTTACGGTATACTAGTAAAGCTATAATTTCAATCTAGTAAACATTCTGTTTCCCTATAATCAGCAATAGGGTGAGTTGAAATTAGGTCCACAAAGGAAGATATCAAACTTCTTGACCCTATCCCACAACTTAGGAACTTTCTTCCCATCTTCAGCTTTGAAATTTTCCTGTTGGTCACCCTTTTTCAGATTTCCAAAACTAAAGCTCCTAGTAATCCCAGCAACAACATCTTCAGGAACTTTAAAGCAACCCTTTAGACTAACTTCTCTTTTACCCTTCATCGATTTGGACGTGCTCTTCTTCTCTTCTTCATGCTTTACAAGCTGATCATAATACTCCTTGTTCCTCTTCTCCAGCCCGTATATTTGCCCTTGAAGATCCTCAATCTTTCGACTTAACATGCAAACCCTATGATCCTCCCTCATTTTTAATATGCACCTTGCTAACTCAGCAGCCTTCCTCTTCAAGAACAGAGATTCCGAAGATAACCCTTTGTTTTCCTCCATCAATGCAGCTACCTTGTATCCTAATCTAGCATTCTCGTTTAACAGTATCAACCTCTCTGATTCCAGCACGTCCAGTAAGCTTTTCTGCAACTCTACCTTCCTTAATGACTCATTGTTTTGCTTATCCACTTGATTAAGCTCGTCTAAGACGAAATCACATTCCACAGTTCTGAGCACCAAGTCAGCAACAATCATGTCTGCCTCAAATTTACCTTGTGTTGAAGGTGGAAAGGGAGGCTGATATGATAATGAACTCTCAGCATCAGACTCAATGATCTCCCCACCATTGTCTTCCTCATCACAGTTATCGTTCTCACTGAAAGTTAACGATGGTATAGGAGAAGAATATCGACGATTGTGATCATGGTTCTTGGCAAGTGCTTGACAGTAGCGATCTGCCAAAGAGACATAGCTGTTGTACAATTCTTGAAGTAAGGCTAACAGCTGTGGCCGTTTCTGGTAATAGGCGTCAGCACGTTCGGCAAAACTGTCAGCATTGCCTTTTTCTGGGATGTTCAGTGCCACCTTCTTCATCTTCTCATCCAAATCTAAAGAGAATAAAAAAACACCCAAATTCAAGTAGAGACAAATAAGTGAATGGTCTGTTTTTTACTTGGACAGTTGCAAGAATTTGAAATTTGAATTGCATGGTACATTGTTTTCATCTTCAGCCCATTTCTTCCCTATGTGCAGATTGTGACAAATTTGGACGTATATGAAAATGAAATCAGTAGTTTGAATCCAAAATAAACACTGGTTCTGGTCCTTGTTTATTAATTTTCAACTTTCTCCACATTTCTACGAATTTAAGAACATTGCTGTAACATGCAGCAAAATATTATTACCACAATTGCCAGCCCAAGTTAAAGATAGCATTCATGAAATCACAATTGCTTGTCTATCCCGAGTCCACGAGGTACAAAACAAGAATTTCTCAATTAAAAATGTTTTATTTCTTTGAGCAGGAAATTACTAATTAATCAGCAGTAAATTAAGAATCTTAAGCCTTACGGTACAGTGGTTTATCCATATGAGCATTATATTATTCCTTATATTAATTAACTCAAAGGTAGACTTCCAAAATGATCATTGCCATTGACAAATATAGTACTATCTGAGAAGAAACAATTTCTTCTTATACTATAATTTTCTAAAAAGCTTTTTTTATGAAAAACTCATATAGGCAAAAACTAAAGTAAATTGGGGATTATAACTCCAAAAATGTAAATTTTTCTAAAGTAAAAATAGAAATAGAATTCTCGTTCAAATTCGCTCCTACATTTATGATTTGACCATATAACAAGCTTATTCTTTAATAATGAACAAATATTTATTTTAAGCCATATTAGAAGAAAAAGCCCCGACATATAGGTTGCAAAATGAGAACCGTCCGTCAAATAAGCTACTACTACTAAATAAGTTTATTCGCATCCAATTAGCACCCATTCTTTAAACCGAAGACTTTCCTAAAGAGAGTACGGTCAAACCTTTCGTTTGTTCCGAATATTTTTTGTTCTTAGCGAAGTGCCGTTATAAAGAACATAATGGAAATTGGTTACGAAAAAGCTTGACTTTTATAGTGAAATGTTGTTATATGGGGATGCTGTTATAAAGAGGTCTGACTGTATTTTACTTCAGTAAAGAGGGGTATTCACTAGTCAAAAAACCTTATATAATCTTGTGAACCAAGCACATAAATTAGAAACAAAATTAGTAGCTGCATCTGAGAGTCCGGAACCAAAATGTGATTATTTTGGACTCAAAGAATCAAAATGTCGAAAAAAATATAGTAACCAAAATATATATAACGCCCTTTTAAAGGGCGCCCGTTTGCCCGTTAAGGTATAGTGCCCTTTAAAAGGGCGTTATATATATTTTGGTCACTATATTTTTTTTTCATACATTTTGATTCTTTGAATCCAAAAAATAACTCACATTTTGGTTCCGGACTCCTGCATCTGAGCATTCGAGAGAGCATAGGATTCTTGTACTCAAAAAGGATTAAAGCTACATTACGTCTAAGGTACAACAGATAAAGAAGATTCAGAAAAGAAGAAAAGATTCTGTCATTTAAAACCAGAAATCGTTTTCTTTCTGCAACACGGCATCACATAATAAAAGTAAATACTATATCAGTAGTCCCCTATTCCCCTCCATTTGAAAACGATTTTAGTATTCAAATTTTGAAAATACCTACCTAAAAAAAGTGTTGCCAGATTCTCAAGTCTTTAGACAAAAACCGCAAGAGACATAAATAGCAAAAGGACACAGCTTTTTGAAATTAACTTTCTGTTTCTATCATAAAATAATTCATAATCTGAGAAGAAAGTGACCCTTCATTTCAGAATGATACCCTTCTTCCCATACACATCCAAAAGAAAGGTAAACACTCTAGTCATTCCCTAGGGAAAGAAATGTTCACATCACCTAAATCACCTAAAATATAACGGACCCCACACCCCTACAATTACAATCAATGCTCCTTCTCTTTCTATCTTTCTGCCATCACTAGTCCAATCTTCATGTTTATTTTGGTACCGACGACTATAATATTTCGGGATTATAGTCTTCGAATTATAATTTTCGGACTAATTTATCCCCCGTATGAGACATGAGATAAAATAATCCTAAGTTTGATGAGATAACCATGAAGTCTGAAATTAAACTTACTTGACGGCATAGATAAATTTTATACAGTATAAATTTAAGCTAGTAACTTACGACCTCTAAAACTACAATATTGAGTTTTCCAACTTATGTTCTTACTACTAGTCTACTACTACGACAAATAAACAAATTATGGTATAACATTCAATATGCTTTTTAGAATAATAAATAAAAACTTGAAAAAAGGTTTTCTATGTGTCAAATATGGGTGTAAAATAAATTATACTTCAGTAAAAGCTTCAAATTACACCTTTATACTATGAAATATTTCAATTTTATCTTCTTCTATATTTCAAGGTCATTCATACATTTTATTTGCCCCTGACAGTATGAGATTCTATGTGTCAATACATGGAAAAAATCCAAATTTATCCTACTACTTTTAACTATAGTTCAAAATCCGGTAGTGTCACAGAAAAATAGTAGACAATTTTATAACGGCAAAGGTAGGAATGATACTAGAATATAGTGGATATTTGGGTATTTTTCTTACTACCTTTTTTTTTCCTAAAATGATGTTGGTGTACAATTAACAGAAGAGAAAAAGCAGAGTAAAAATTATCTGAATAATTTACCAGCAACTGTGCAAAGAAGCCAAGAGGGTCTACTGAAGCTTCTCCTTTTTGAATAATTTGAAGAAGCCATAGAAACAGGAGTTAAGGCCTCACCACCATGTTTTTTCTCTGCCTTCAGTTTTGTTTCCATTTCAGCTGGCAAAAATAGGGCCTACACTATTCAAAAACGATGTCAACTTATTTTTCCACTTATATCTCTTTCATCAATTAATGATAAGCAAATAACACATTAAAAAACTGAGGCTTTGTTGGCTTGTTGCAGTTTCATGAAAACATTGATATACCCCATAATAAACTAGAATGTACAGTACAATTAATGATCTGTTTGAGGTATCCTATGAATAAAGAACAGAACAAAAAAGAATAGAAGCAATATAATAGTAGCAGTATAGAAGCTCAAGAATATATATATATATATATATAAAATGCAGATAACGAGGTTAAAAGACCAGTTAAGAAACTTAAAATATGTAAATAATATTATTAAATGTCACTATGTTTTACAAAATTTTCCTTAATGTAGCTTCAACCCCCTTCTCCTGTTCACCTATAAGTTACAGCAGAGTTGGAGTACAAGACTAAAACCATGAGTTTGAGAACAAAATTTCAAGTGAGAAAACTAAGAACAAGCGCGAAGCAAAAACTTACCAAATAACAGAGAAACAGAGAGTATACGTTTGTGGGGGTCAAACTTAACGATGAGAAGAACAAACTTGAGCAGAACTTGAGTGATGAAAATAGGAAGAAGCTTACTGTAGTTGAAATTCTTGATCACTTAAAAAAAAACAGATAAAAGAAAAAGTGCTTCTACTACAAATCCAAATTATGGAGAATAAAGGTTAGATTTTTTTTAATTTGAAGTGATGAGTTACAGATATAGCAAAAGTTGGAGGTGACTTTGGGCTTTTCTGTTTTCTTGGTTTTGGGGGACTTTTTTTCTTTGGTTTGGGGATGAGAAGTCAAATAGTTTCTCGCTGGAAGCCCGCACACAACGATTTGATTTTTGGCGAATCAGTAGCTGCCACGTTATGAAGTCCGTGCAGTGTTATTTAATGCAGTAGCTGGGAACTGAGTTGATGGACAGGTCAAAGATGGGTTTTTCAGTTCTAATAGGGAACAGCCTACAGCTACTGGTTACAGCCCTATGTTATAGCCCGAAAAATGGAAAAAGGAAGAAAACAAAGGGTGTGTTTGGTATAATATTCCAAGAATTATTTTTTTGAAAAATAAGTAGTAATCTTATTCATTTTTCGACGTTTGGTACACAAATTAATGAAAATAACTTTTCAAAAGTATTCATAAATAATTTAGATACAATAAACATGAAGTCATAAACTTTCGAACCAATAACCTTCCGAATTCACAAATTTCATAAACTATCGAACCGCTAAACTTTCAAAACCACAAAATTTTGAACCCGTAAACTTTATAATTTTTAAACCCGTAAATTTTCAAATACATAAACCTCCGAACTCATAACTTTGGATCTTGTGAAATTTCGAACCTGTAAACCGAAAGATGAAAAAACTAAAACTGAAAATATATAAAATAAAATAAAATAAAATCGGGAAGGGGGAGGGGCGAGGGGTTGCAGAAAAACGAAAAAACAGAAATTTAAAATTACAAAAGAAAAAAAAAGTAAAAAAAAAATTGTGAGGGTNGGGTAGGGTGGGTAGGCATGGGTGGGATTAGGTGGGTAGGGGTGGAGGTGGAGGTAGGTTAGTGAGGGTGGGGAATAGGGTAGAGAAGGTTGAGAAGGAAAATTGAAAAATATTTTCCTTCCTACCAAACACACCCAAAAACATAAATTATTGTCCACAAAAAAAACTTTCCTCATCTCATTGTATGCATGTAATTATTTTTAGCTTGAGATATTTGCATTGACACATTGTTTGAGGGATAAGGAATAACAATTTCGGGATAAAATATTATATTATTTTGTCTCATGTTTGATATAGATATTAACTAGTCTCGAAACTATTTTATACTAAAATAATGAGATTAGCTATCTTACATAAGGTGAAATAGTTAATCATGTGGTCCCATCCTGGTAACCAAACGATCCCCATATACTTCATTTATCCCAATTTATAAAAGATTTAGGGGTCGTCTGATACGCGAACTAAATTAATTCGAAATTATAGTCTTGGGATTATAATTCATAGGCTAATTTATCTGACCTGGAAGGTGCGATAAAATAATGTACCAAATTTGATGGGATAAGATTGGATATCCAGGATTAATTTTGGGACTAAGTTTATACTATGTTTGATTAACGGTATAAATTTATTCCGAAATAAATTTATACCGCCAACTAAATATAGTATAAATTTAGTACTACACTTTATCCCATCTTATCACGCGTACCAAACGACCTCTTAGAGTATGAGAGTTCAAATATCTAACTTCCGTTTGAAATTTGAGTATAGATTTTTTACTTTTTTCAAAATAAATTTACATATCTAACATGTATCTATATTATTATAAAAGCATGAATACAATGTTGGTTTACAAAAATAATCTTTTAATATTAAGTATAAAAACTCACAATAAAAGGATATAATCGAAATTCTAGACATTAGCCTTATAATCCTATTAGTTTAAATACATAATACTGCACGTTAGGAATCCTACACGATTACCTTTAGGAATCCCATTAGTATAATTACTTTCGGGCATATACATATAATACTACATGTTAGCATGTAAACCTAATACCTTTAGGAACACGTTAGGTTTCTATTTATATAACTACTTTCGAGGTAAATACATATTTTTAGCCATGTAATCCTATTACTTTTAGGATATATTTATTAAAAAATCCTATTACTAATTTAATTTGAAAACGTATTATATTGTCCTATTACTAATTTAATTTGAGAATGTATTATATTTTCAAAATTCATTTAGAAAAAGGATAGCCTATATTATTATAAAAGTATTAATACAATATTGATTGATCAAAATAACCCCAAAATATTAAACAGAAGAACTCATACGGAAATGACATAACTATAATAACCTATTTTTTTGTACTACAATAACTTCTATGTCAATTTTTTTAATATTTTAGATTTTAAAATTAATAAAATTTTGTCTATTAAATTTTTATTAAAATATGTAAGAAGGTTTAATAAAATCAGTTTCATAAAAATCCTTCGCATTGACAATAAATTACCACTCCATAATGTCCAATATCAAGAAAAAATAAAAGTAATCTTAGGTGGACAGCATAAAGCATTAAAATTAAAAATAAATCCCCACGATATTATATTTTATATTATTAAAGTTGAACTGCTTTCCTACTCAAATAATATTTTATTATTATTAATTTTTTGTGTAATATTCAAAAATATACCCCATTATTAAGAACATCTAAGAAATTATTTAAGAATACAAAAGTGTGATAAAGAAAAAGAAAAATGATTGGTAAGAGTTAATATTACTGATGATTTTGCAAACATAAAGATATAAAAGTGGAATGTCAGATCGAACTTTTTACTCTTTGAAAATAAAATTTATGGTGGATAAAGTTATAAAAACAATAGATGAACTGATATTACTAATCTAAATCAACATAAAATAAATTATTTCTTATGTTAAGATCAAATAATTAAATCCTTCAATTAATTATAAAGCAAGTGAATCCAATTTAATTATTTTTTAAATTCATCATGTGAGTAAAATTATTTTTCAAGTAAAAAAAATCTTAAGGTACATAAATTTATTCCATGAAAAGAGCGTTAGAGCTTAAAAAATTAGATCCCAAAGTAAAAAAAGATTAGTATAGTATTAAGAATCAAAAGGTAATATAAGTGTTTGAGGAAACACAATTAAAACTAAATCTTGAACAAGAATAAGTTTTCAAGACTATATTATAAAGAATCGACTCTGGTATAGCGGGATTATCCTTTGTAGATGCCTCTGAAATCGAAATAATATTCCTATGTCATACATTATTTGCAAACGTCAGATCAAGAGGCATGATACTGTTAGCAATAATAATAAGTGGTGTACTAGCAACGATTTTATTATGAGGTCGTACAACTCACTTTAGATTTGATATATATTTTTAAACAACTGAAATAACCATCACAAATATATCAAAGAAGAGCAATGGTGCTAAATTTCCAAGGAAAGCAAAATTGATAATATGGGAAGAAACGCTTATGGCTAAGCGTCAAAGGATTGAAACAATTGCCCATAGTTTTAGAGATAGATTGTATATCAATGAACCGTTTGGTGGAAAATTAATGGTTTGGAAGGTGATTTCCATCAAGTACTGTCAGTAGTTCCAAAATCGATGAAAGTAGAGACTGTAAAAGCTAACTTGCCAAAAATATACTTATGGCCTCAAATAAAAAAGATTCAAATGACACGAAATATAAAAGTAAGAACATATCCATCATTCAGTAACTTCTTTCTTCATGTCGGAAACGAAGAAGAGCATCTAATAAAAGATGGTTTGATTCCTCCAGAACACGTGGTTATCAAGCTCAATGGTAATAGTTGTACATTTAATAAGGGAAATGTTCCCACCATTAGATTTAAACGTAATTTGTACAAGTTATGTGATAGAAATTAAAGAGCTATCTTAGCCAGCAGAAATGAATATGCTGATCGACTAAATAAAAGGTTGATTGCTAAGTTTATGGTAAAAATAAAATATTTTTCAGTTTTTGATTCAGCAGAAGATGATACCAGCAATTACTATCAAGAAGAATACTTAAATACTTTAATACCAAATGGCCTTCTACCATACAAGTTTGTTATTTCTTACATATGTTAGTGTTACCGTATATATAATAGACTAAGTTAAAATTGATCTTCCATTGCATATAGGTTGATTTTGACGAAAAATATGCATGTCATGCTATTGAAAAACTTAGATCCCTCGAATAGCTTATGTAATAGTACACATATAGTATACAAAAGTTTTGACAATAATGTCATACATGCAAAAATAACTGGTCAATGTGCTTCCAAGTACGTGTTTATCCCCGAATTTAACTTCCATCTTCCAAAACTAAAGAATATCCTTTTAACTTTGTGGGAAAATAATTTTCAGTATGTTTATATTCTGTAATTATGTAATGACCCAACCGGTCATTTTAACTTTTAGAAACTCGTTCCCTAAAATAAAACTCTCCGAACATGCTTTTATTAATTAATGACTTGCGGGGATGGTTGTTTTTGGATTTGGAAGTGTGTGGGTTGAAATCGGAACACTTGGTTCCTTAAGTTAACTTTAAATGGACAAGTTTGACCTCGGTCAATATTTTGAGAAAACGACCCCGGAATCGGAATTTGACGGTTCCAATAGGTTCGTATGATGATTTTGGACTTGGGCGTATGTCCAAATCGGGTTTTGAATAACCCGGGAGCGTTTTGATGCTTAATAGTAAAAATTAACTATTTGAAGATTTAAAATTTTTTAAATTTGGTTTGGGGTAGTTTTTTGAGTTATTGAAGTTCGTTTGTAATTCCGAGTTTGGGAATAGTTCTGTATAGTGATTTAAGACTTACACGTAAAATTTCGTGTCATTCAGAGTAGTTTAAGTATATTTTGGCGCATTGGAAGTAAATTGAAGAACTTGAAATTCTTAAGTTTGAATCAATTTGGTTTAGGGTATAATTCTTAAATTTGATGTTGTTTTACGCGTTCCGAGAGTTCGAACGAGTCCGTTTTATGATTTCAAACCTGTTGGTATGTTCGGACGGGGTCCCGGAGTCCCCGAGTGGCAATCGGACGAGGCTTAGACCAAGTTGGAAGTTAGGTGCCAAAACTGAAGCTCCCACCTACTGTAAGAATCGCACCTGCGCATGGCCAGTCGCAGGTGCGACATTCGCAGATGCGAGATTTCTTCGCAGAAGCGGAAAAGAAATGTGAGGCCTGCCATCGTAGGTGCGGAATATTGGGCGCACCTGCGAACGCGCAGGTGTGAGGCTAGACGCGCAGATGCGAGAATTGGCCAGGCGAGTGGAACTCGCACCTGCGAGGATTTTCCGCAGGTGCAGAGCCGCAGGTGCGTTCCAAC